CTAGTCCAGGTTGAAATGCGCAGGATCTTGAAACACCAGCTCCCGTGCGGAAAGCTGTCACACAAACGCTCCGGGACATGAACGTTGTCCACTTCCTTCGAGGAGAGAACACAATGTCCACCAGAGGACTGGCTGGCGGAGGACACACTCAAACTAAAACACTCCGCATTCTACTCACAAAACGGCCACATAGCCCGGAGCAGGGAGCAGGGAGCAGCGAGCGCCTTCTGCAAAGGGCCACATGGCAAGCATTTTAGGCTTGGCAGGCCACATCAAGTCTCTTCGCTTATTCTCTTGGATTTTTGGTTGTTGCTTTACAGCTGCTTAAGAAATGCTAAAATAACTGGTACTTCCTGAACCTTACAAAAATTTTTTAAAAGCCCAGCCTCAAAGTCTGCGTTTCGAAACCAAAGTGCTCCAGTGCACTTTGCCTGAGTCTTCCACAATCGAGTTGTTACCTCACCTCTAGGTCGAGTCAGTACAGTATCTATACAAAGTAAGTGAAAGCACTTGGGGCCAAGCAGAGCAAGCTCTGAAGAAACTGGCTAATTCTTAACAAAGTAGATCTCTCTGTCAAACCTAAGGAAGTTTTCAGAAGGAAATACAGTTCAACCCTATATTAGTAAAATACATGTATAAAACATTCATAAATGAATGTGCTGGAAAGTTTGGGAAGAACATAGTAGGGGACGGGATGATGGGGTAACAGAAGCTTTGTGGACAAACATCTACATTGTGTCAGCATTTTAAACCCAACACTTAAGTTAGATGTCCTTCCATGAATGAGAAAGCACTTGGACTCTTTAAAACAATAGCAATGCAGCAACAGGAAGTCACCTGACAAACATCTGGTGTCAGGTGTAGTTCTGAGGGCTTCGCCTGCATGGATTCACTCAGGCCTCCACAACCAGTGGGGTAACATCACTGCGACGCACAGGGAGGGAACCAGACACCAGTAACACTCGCCCAGGGCACTAACTGGCTGCTCCAGGGCAAGAACCCGAGCAAAGCAATGCCAGAGCTCACACTGAAAATCCCACCGTGGACACACAAAACAGGGTTCACACCATCAAGCTCGGGATGAGAAAGAAATCCTCAAACATCTCTCAGTCTACCCAGGGCATCAGAGTGCACCTCCCATAAAACCACTGTTATGTGTTTTTAAATCAGAAAGTTTTCTGATTCAAATAAATTCACTTTTCTTAGAGCCCACATGTCTTTAATTACCCAGGAGACAGGGAGATAACAGGGAGCAGACTATGTGGGTCCAACAGAATGTAGGTTTGGCTCCTGACCGCACAGTCCCTAGCTGGAGACTCCTGGGTGAACCCTGACTGCCCTATTGGCCTTATCCGTAGGCTTGCCAGGCGTACACTTTGTTGTTCTTTTATTGCAAAATCTATATATAAACATAAAATTTCCCATTTCAACTATTTTTAAGTGTACAGTTCATGGCATAAGTACATTCAAAATGATGTTCAACCATCACCACCACCGATGCCTGAAGCATTTCCACCATCCACACAGACACTCTGCACCCACTAAACAATAGCCCCTCACTCCATGCCCAGCCTGAGTTCCTGCACCCTGACTCCACGTCTGCCACCAGGGCTGGCCTACTCTAGGTAGCCCCCTTTTGGAATCACATGGCAGTTTTTTTTTTCCTTTAGGATCCGGTTTATCTCACTGAGCTGGTTTTCAAGGCCCATTCGTGTTGTGACACATATTGGAGGGCCGAGTGGATATGCCACTGCGTGCATACCACATTTTGTTCACCCATTCATCTCCTGATGGACCGGGGGAGGGGGTTAGAAGAATTAAAAATAAGGTATCTGATGTGACTGTTACCACAAGGAACACAATAAATGAGTAAAGCATCCAGCAAATTGCAGGCACCTTAACATTAAGGTCTTTTTTCCCCACTTTCTTTGGTCTCATTTCTGCACCAAGGAGGGTGCAGAGGCAAGACAATGGGGGGGGGCGACCATCTTAGAGATGGGTGGGTTTACTGATGTACATTTATCAAGCCACTTAAAAGAACAGCCAGGAGTATCCCAGCAAGTGATCCACTGTTACACTGGACTACCTCCTTCAGTTTTACCCTCAAAACCTACCTCCAATCATTCTAATAAAGAACTCATCAATTGGAACTAGATACCTTTTCAATTAAAAGATTTAGCACTCTCGCTAATGCTTCCTCTTTTTGCATTTTTTATACATGGATCATCAATATTGACATCAAAATCAAATCCCACAGCTATTACAAGCTAGGTATCAGGATGATTCATCAAGCTCCTCTCTGGCTGCTAGAAATGCCTAACACGAATACCGATAGTAGCAGCTAAGCCATATCCAATTTTCAGTACCTCAGAGTATTAAACTAGGACACTCGTTGACACTTACTTTTCCTTGTAATCACTTCCTTTCAAAGAAGGAGAAAAACACCTTCTAAGTCGCTTGTGGTGGAAATATTACTATGCCTTGTTTACTTTGCAAATTCTTTTCTCAAATTGTACCCCCTCCACTTCATATTTCCATCATTTATTCAACTATTAAATCCCCATTCTCCAGCCAGCGTGCTGGGTGCACAAAGAAAAATGAGAGGGAGCTTCTGCCTCATGGCACCTGCGTGCAGGAGGCCGTGAACAAGTGCTCACAGCACAACTTGATACACGAGATGTTGAAATCCGGACAAAGCCCTGGGGACGGGAGTCAGGGAAAGTCCAGAGAAGGTAAGTGCATCCTCTGACCAAGAACCTTTCTCTGACTTGAAGGAATTACCCCTCTCCACTCATTGCTCTCCTCCCAACAAAAGATTTCAAAAATGTCTTCATCCCATGCACTGACCTAAAGCGCTTGCCGGTAAGTTGTCCAAGGGGCCCCTCCCCACCACTGCCAGGACGCATATATCCTAGGAGGACCCTTCCCCGCTGCTGGTCTTTGAAAAGCAGATCAACTTTCTTTATCACTATTCATGGAGGCCAACAGAAAAATTAATCCACACTCCTTGCGCATGCCAGCTCGGAGGGAAAAGATGCTGAAAAACCTCAGTGTAACCTAAAGAAACGCACTGGAAATGTTTAAATAGCAACGCAAAGATAATCACATGCAGGCGCAGAAGGCAAAGCTGGTATAAAAGTATGAGAACTTTTTTCCCCTCACTACACCAAGTCAACAAGTGTTTTTTCAATCACTTCTTAAACTAAGCACATTCTCATAAACTTATTTTAACAAATTTTTAAACCAATTCCCCAAAATCTTTTCTTTAAATCTTGTGGCAAATCCAAAGATAGTGATTCTCAAATACCATAATACACGAGAAGGGAAAAGTTAGAATTCATCCCAAATACAAATTTCTGCCAACATCTGCAGAACTAGCCGATCTCATACACCGGGCAAGACTGCCAGTAAGGCCTTTTTAACACGTAATTTTTGGTACCACGGTGAGTGGGAACACTCACCATCTGAACACCCAGGGCAGCACCTGGAACACCTGTCAGTTCCGCTCACCACCCCACGGGCGTGAAACACACACTTGGGCACCGCTTCTGTCTCCATTTTCTGGAGCCTGAAGACAGCAGCACGCTACAGCCTGTCAGGCAGAACACTGTGCCCACGTGCTCCCCAACGCCTTCCTCCGAACACACTCACTTTCCATGAAAACTGAAAGTTTTAGTGAACTCCCCGGCATCTCCGGGGCTTCACAACATCTCCCCTAAAACGGCTGCAAATAGGAAACAGGACTCTCTGCAGTTAGGACTGGAGTCCCATCTAGCGCTAGCCTGAGACTAGGAAAAAGGAATCAGAATGTGTCCTCGCGACTCTCCTCACCTCGCAAATAAAGTCACCGGGACGCGCGCCCGGGCGGCGCACCTGCGCCACCTCTCCTGCCCGAGGACGCAGGACCCGACACCCTCCCGGCGCCCTGGGCGCATCCGCCCCGCTCCCCGGCGCCGCCTCGCCGTTCGGAGGGACCGTCCGCATGTGTGCGTGAGACGCCGAAACGCCGTCGAAATTCCACGGCAGACTCGGAAAGCTCGAAAGTGGTCGCGGGAGCAAAACATCTCCCAACCCCGCGCGGCGGGCGCGCCCCTCCCAGACAAGCTGGAATCCGCAGGCTCCGGGCCACCAACAAAGGAAGTTTGGCCGAGCGGGGACCGCGCACTCCGCGCCGCCGCCGGGGTCGCCCAGCGCCGAGGGCCCCCGCGCCCCCGCAGCGCCCGGCCGGGGGCCCCGCGTCCCGGGACGGGCGCCCCCGGCACCTGTCGCCCCGCCCGGCGGGACCCGCGGGCCGCCGGCTCCGCCGAGGTGCGGACTCCGGAGCGAGCGCCGGGCCGAGTTCCCCAAGTTCGCCGCCCGGACCCTCCTCGGCGAGAAGCGCCCGCGCGGGCCGGACGTGGGGGGGCCGTCGGGCCGGGGCGCCGGGACCGCGCGGAGCCCACGGGGGGCCGGACCCCGACCGGCCCGCGGCCGGCAGGCGGGGGCGCGGGGCCGCCTCGGCGAGCGGGGGCCGGGGGCGCGGGGGGGGTCGGCCGCGCGGCCCCCGCGCCCCGCCCGCGCCCCGCCCGCCGCCGCCAGCCGGGTCGGGCCCCTTCCCGCGCCGGCTCCCCGCGCCCGGCCGTCCTTTGTCTGGGGCGCACTCGGCGGCGCGGGCCAGAACTTGTGGCGTCCCGAGCCGGCGCCGCCGCCGCCACACAAAGGCCGCCCGCGCCCCGCGGCCCCCGCCCCGGCCCCCCGCCCCCGGCCCCCCGGCCCCCGCCCGGCGCCCCCGCGCGCCCCCCGCCCCGGCCCTCGGGGTCCCGCCGCGCCGGCGCGCGGGGCGGGGGCGACGGGCCGGCGGGGGCCCCGGACCCCTTCCGGGGGGACCCCCGCCCCGCCCGCCCCGGCGGCGCCCCGCGCGCCCGCGCCCGCGGCACCGGACGGGCAGACGGCGGCGGGGACGTCCGGGCGCCGCCGCCCCTCGCGGGCTCCGAGCCCCGCCGGCCGCCGGCGCGCCTTACCTGCGCCCCGCGCCCCAGCCCGCGCCGCTCCCGCGCGCCGCCGCCGCCGCCGCCGGGGCCCCGCCGCCGTCTGCGCCGGGGGGTGTCGGGCGCTCCCGGACCGAGCGCCAAACCCGGCAGCCCAATCGCCATCGCTTTTATTTGGCCCCCCCCAGTGCCACCAAGCGCCGCCCCGATTGGCGGGACGCGCGGCGCCGCCGTCCAATCACAGCGCCCGCGGCGCGCGGCGCGCAGGCCCCGCCCCACGCCGCGGCGCCCCGGGACCAGGCCGGGCGGGCGGCGCGTGCGCGGGCGCGGGGAGCCGGCCGCGGGCCGAGCCGGGCGCCGGCTCTTTGTTCTTTCGCCGGGCGCGCGGCGCCTCGGGAGGGCGGCGGGCCGGCGGGGGCGCGGGCGGGGGCACGGGCGGGGGCGCGGGCCGCGGCGGGGGCGGGAGCGGCCGGGCGGGGCGGGGCGGGGCGGGGCGGGGCGCGGGCTTGGCGGGAACCGCCGCCTCGGAGTTCCCGGGCCGGGCCGGGGCGGGGCGGGGCCGAGAGCCAAGTTTGAACCAGTTCGAAACTCGGGGGCGGTAACGGTCCCAACCGCCGCGCGCCGCCCCGCGCGCCCAGCGAGGCCCCGCCGCGCCCGGCCCGGCGGGGTGGGGGGCGCGGGGACCCCCTCCCGCCGCCCGGGGGCTCCTCGAGCCGCGGCGCCTCAGCCCGGAGCAGCGGCGCCCCTCGCGCGCCCGCCCCGGGGGCCCCGCCCGCGCCCGGCCCCCGGGTCGCCGCCCCAGAACGCGCGTCCGGCCGGGGCGCCCCGGCCCCAGGCTGACGCCCCGCGGAGTGCCCGACGCCCGCCACCGTCGCGATGCCTGAGGAGAAATGAGCGTGGGGTGAAGCAGCCTGCGCCCCGGGGACCCGGCCTGCGCTGCTGGGGGTGCAGCTCCCCCTTTGCGTTCTCTGGCCGCGAAGTTAAGGTCATTGTGAAGTTGCAGGAGACGAGCAGGGGGAGCACGGCCGCCCGCCCCCGGGTAAAGGGGGTGCGTTGAGCCTGGGGGAGTGGGCCCCCGAGAACTGCCGGCCTAGAAACAAAGACATTGTGTGGGGTTTTGTTGGGGTGTTATTTTTCATCTTCGATTACATTCTCGAATGACAAGATTTTCCATGACCGTTTGGTGATTGAGGGGTGTTATTCCATAATTTCCCCACTTCTCCTCAGCGCCCCAGCTCGCGTGTCCATCCCAAGTGGACTGTCTGGTGGGCGTGTACGTGGGAGAGACCCGCGGACTCGGGAAACAGCGCTCAAGTACAAGTGCGAGTCTGATGAGTGCCTAGAGTACAGAAAGAAGTAGGTTGTGTGTCTGAAATATGACAATGAAATCAAATTTCGTCTGCCGTGCCCCAGACCCTGCGGGCATCTTCTATGGTAAGGGCTGCCAGCAGACGGGCAATTTACAGTCACTTTTTGAACCGCCTAGTTAAAACTCAAAAGTTAACTACTTATTCTTAAATTGCTTCTCATGGTACGGGTCTTGTGCTTTCTGTTAAAACTTAAAAACTGGGCATTTTTTAGATAAACACATGCATTTTGCAGCAACATGGATGGCGCTGGAAGGGATCATGCTCAGCGAAATAAGCCAGAAAGAAAAAGAAAAATACCGGATGGTCTCACTCATAGCAGAAATCTAGAAAACTTAAATAAGGGACCAGGAAAATAAATAACTATAAGAAAGTGAAAATCAAAATCAACAAAAAACTATCAGCCAGAGACACTCTATGGGGGGTAGAGGGCGGGAGGGGAGGGATTGGGGTCAAAATAAGGGGGTTGCAATTGTATGGGGATTATAAAAATAAAAAATAAATAACAAAAAAAACTGGGCATTTTTTGAAAAAAAAAAGTCATCAGATTTTAAGAAAGCAGATCAAAACAAATGGTGTGAAATAGATCAATTGTTAAGGCATTTAGAATCAAAGAATGATGACAGATCGAGATGTAAAGAAAAAAAATAGCAAATTGTAGAACAGGACATTTCAGCTGGCCCCTGGAGAGGCACAAGATCTGGATTGATGGGCACTTGAGATGGAAAATGGGAGAGGAACTTGCATGGAACAAAAGGCCAGCGCTCCAGCTGGGGCAGCAGTGAGCAGGCTAGAAAGCTGAGGGGGGCCTACACTAAACAGGAGACTGTGATATACATATTTATCGATAAGTTAAATGTGGGGCGCTGACTAGGAGGAGTAAGGATGTCACCGGCTCACCCTACTGTCTTAATTCAGTACCATCATTCAGTGATGGCAGGGGAAAAAAAAAAAAAGGATCTTTTGAAAACATCACAAAAGGACGTCCTTAGGCGTGGAGAACGGTGATGTCCTGCAACTTTTTGTGTGCCGACAAATATTGGGAAGTTGCGGGAGTATTTCATTTTTAATACTAAGAAAAATTATCTGGAGATTTCCAGCCAGAAAAAGCAAGAAAATAGGCGTGCAAGTGTGTGAGTGTGTGTGTTGTGTGTGTGAATGCTGGTTATTAAAGGGGCCTATGTGAACAGAAAACCAGGGTCGAATCAGCCTTTTCTTTTTGTTGAAGATTCTCAGATTAGTTTCCATACTGTACCAGGGGGGTCCCCAGGGAAAGGGGAGGTTCCAGGTTCTCTGCCCCACCAGGGAGGAGGAGACCCTGGATAGGAGTCTGGGAGAAGGGAGCCCTGGAGGAGGCGCAGAGAGACATGGAAAAGCTGCTCTTGAGTCTCTGCCTTGGACTTGTACCCGGTACATAGAGGATATGGGAAGAGACCCTTGAAATAGACGTGGGTGAGACCCATTGGGGAGTTGACAATGGTGGCCTTTATCTTGATTTTGAGTGTGCTCTTTTCCTTCCATACTTTCCTGGCCCCTTCCTCTTTCCTAGGGTCCCCACCGGAAGGTGCCTTAGACTTGTGGCAGGCTAACAGGCCTCAGTGGCCCTGCTTTGGACCAACCCTGTTTGGCTGGGCATTTACCACGAGGAGATGGGTAACTTTGGGTGCTTGATTTGGGAGCTACATTCTTTAATGCACACGAATTGTATTAAAGTTCCTTTCCTTTGAAGGCGCTAGAATATGTTTTGTCTTGAGCAGTGGATGGCAGAACCCATTTAAAGTGGGCAGGTTTGGGTGCTTTGGGGTGCCCCTCACCCTGCCCTTTAACAATACTACTGGTAGGTCATTCTGATTCACTAGTAATGGGTTAAAACCAAAAACACAAGTAAACTGAGTAAGGAGCAGCTCTGCACTGGTCCCAGCTGCGTCCTCTGTCCTGTCCTCAGGGCTTGCCTGGGGGCACGGGAGAAAGTGAAGTGTGCCTGAGTCCACAGCACCTCCCTGCTCCCCTTTCCACTAAAGAATGGGATTTCCTCCACACATCTGTTCATTCACTCAGCATTCCGCAAGCATTTATGGAGGGCTTACTTGGTGGAAGAAAACTTCAGGGGCAAAACTTCCAAGTAAAAGAAAAATCCTCACTTTCCTGGTGTCAACTTTCCAACGGAGAGAAATAAGCAACAAATTAGGTAGCATCTGAGACGGTTAATCAATAAAATGGAGAACGACATGGGCTGCAGGAGTCAAGTGTTGAGTGCAATTTTAAAATAGCAGCCAGTTTTAGCTTTAGCCAGTTTTAGCCACTTTTAGCTTCAGCAGTTTTAAAATACCTTAGGATAGACTTGAACTTTTTTAAAATAAATTTATTATTTTAATTTGGGGGGTCATGTTTTTATTCCTCCATGGGTGCGCATGGACCACCCACTGTCCCTTCTCCAAACCCCTTACGCCAATAAACTGTCCATTTCCCTCCTCCATCCCCTCCCATCCCATCCTCCCACCTTCCCTCTGTAACCAGTAAATTTTTCACTAAGTCCAAGGTTTGTTTTTGCTGTATTTTGCCAGTGTCTTTTTTTAGATTTATTTATTTCTGTATACAAGAACTGGGGTACAGGCCAGAAGTGTGTGGGGTGAGAGGGTTCACCAGAGACAGAGTGGGGAGCAAAGCAGGCAGACCTACTGAAATTGCTGAGGGGAGCAGTGGGGAGACCGGAAAGGTCTGTCGCACCATGTGGGTGGCTCCCTAGCCAGCCAGGAATCGAACCTGCGCTGCAGAGGCTGCGGAGAGCTTCACAGCACTGCGCTCAACCACCTGCACCACAAGGGAGGCCCTGAAAGGTGAAATTTGAAGAAAGACTTGAGGGGTGCTCATAAGAGACAAGGTCCAGGCAAAGGGCAGCCCAGCGCTGGGCCTTTGGTGGTGCTTGCCGGGGTGGTCAGGAACTGGAGAGGGGAAGTGGGAGAGGTGGTACAGGCAGCAGGGGGCCCAGGCAGATCTCAGGGCGTTGGGGCCCTTGTTCAGGCTCCATTTCAGACTTAAGTGAGGACTGAGCAGAAAGGCCACCTGATCGTGAACAGGGAGAAGGCGAGGGCACAGACACAAGCACAGTTTCTGGGGTGGGCCTCGCAGACACTCCCTCCGTGGGCACCACTACCCACTGGTCGTTACTCCGAGATGGGCAGCCTCTGATCGGTCTGCAGCTTGTCAGCACGAAACTGTTCAGACCATTATGTTGTGACTTTGCATTTTTTGCAGCTCTCCCTCCTTTCTCTTAAAATAATTTCTCAGTCCTAGCAGAGATAGAAAACTGATGATTTGAGGTTTTACGCATACAGAATGCAGAACAAAAGTGAAAAATCTGAAAGATTTTGGAGGTTCCCATCTCTGCAGCTCCATGTTATCACACCGCCTGCCACCCAAGACCCATCGCCTCCTCCAGGGTCTCCTGGGGCCCTCCCCGGCCCCCCGCCCCGGGCCGCTCAGGCCTGCAGTCAGAGTCCCAGGCTTGGTGTGGGCTTGGTTTGGTTTTGACTGTTCCTTTGTTTAGTTTCTTTATATTCCACATATGAGTGAAATTATGGTATTTTTCTTTCTTCTTCTGACTTATTTTTCTTAGCATCATCCCCTCCAGCTCCATCCATGTTGTCGCAAATGGCAAGAATTCATCTTTTTTCAATGGCAGAGCAGT